CAGTCTATCAGCAAGCATTTATTAAGTGCCTACCATGTACTGGGCTGGGCAAGTCACTGCTGACGCAAAGAGAAAAATGAAATAATCCTTTCCCTCAAGGAATTTCTATTCAGTTCAGGAGATAGCAAATTCAGGTGGAAGTATATTTGTTATGTATCCAAAATACATGCCAGATAATTAGAGTGAGGCAATAGAAGCTGGGGGAATCCAAGAAGGCATCATGTAAAGGTGGGCTTGAGTTGAGAAAATTAATAATTCTAAGAGGCAAAAGTGAGGAAGGAATATATTCCATGCATGGAGGATAACCTGTGTAAGGCATGGAAAGGGAAGATAGGAAATGGAATATCATGTGTGTAGGAAAGCAAGAAAACCAGTTTGGCTAGACCGAAGAATATAGGAAGAAGATCAGGCTTGGAGCCAAGTTGTGAATGCCAAGCAGCAGAGTTTTGTATTTTGTCCTAGAAGTAATAGGGACTCACCAGAATTTACTGAGTAGCAGAGTAACTATGTAAAACCTGCATTTTAGGAGTATCATTTTAACAGCTGAGCAGAGCAAAATGAATGGAAGAGGGGAAAGACTGGAGGCAGGGAGACGGATTGCAGCAGTCTCTATGAGAACAGTCCTGGTGAGAAATGAAGAGGCCCTGAACTAAGGTGGTGGCTATGCATGGGGAGAGAAGGGGAAGATGCGAGAGGTACTGTGGAGGGAGAAGAGAGAAGACTTGGCCACTGGTTGACTGTATGGGGTGAAGCATAGTGAGAAGTGCAGGGTAATTCTAGGGAACTGGGAGGTCAGGTTCACTCAATAAAAATAGGCTAGGTCAGAAGAGAAGTGGCTTTGGGGTAAAAGATCATACTTAGAACATGTTGAATTTGACATATAGATAGATATTATGCATATATACATATATATGTATGTATAAGTCAGTCAGCAGACATTTATTAAACACCTGCTGAGTGCCAGTCACTTTGCTGGGGATAGTTCCTGTCCTTAAGGAGCTAACAACCTAAAGGGCTAAACAAAAGCAAACAAATATGTACAAAGAAGCTATATACAAGGAAGTAATTAAGAGAAGGAAGGAATTAGGGACAGCTAAGTGGTGCAGTGGATAGAGCTCCAGCTTTGGAGTCAGGAGGACCTGAGCTCATATCCAGCCTCAGACGCTTGACACTTACTAGCTGTGTGACCCTGGGCAAGTCACTTAACCCTGATTGCCTCACCAAAAACAAACAAAAAAACCCCCCAAAACAGAGAAGGAATGAATTAAGAGGGATTAGGAAAGGCATCCTGTAGAAGATAGGATTATAATTGGGATTTAAAGGAAGCCGGAGAAGACAGAAAGGAAGAGAGGCAGAATTCCAGAGATAGGAGACAGGCACAAAAAATGTCCACAGCTGGAAGATAAGTGTCTTGTTTCAGGTGTAAGAAAACTGGAAAAGTAGGAGGGGTCTAGGTTATGAAGGACTTTGAAAGCCAAATGGAATATTTTGTATTTGATCCTGGAGGTGATAGGAAGTCACTGGAGTTTATTGAGTGAAGGGGTGACATGCTCAGATCTCACTTTAAGAAAATCACCTTGGTGGTCAAATGTAAGATAGTGGGGTGGACACAGGTTTGAGGCAGGCAGATCTGCCATCAGGATGTTACAATAATCTAGGCATGAGGTAATGAAGGCCTGCATTAGAGTGGTGACAGTATCAGAGGTGAGAAGGGAATGCATTCAAGAGATATTGCAAAGGTGATATCAACAGGCCTTGGCCACATATTGGATATAAGGGGTAAGAGAGAGTGAGGAGTAAAAATGACATCTATATTGTGAGCCTGAGGGACCAGGAAGATGGTATAGTAATAGGGAAGGTAGGAGGGAAGAAGAGTTTAGGGGGAAAGGTGAGTTTGGTTTTGGACTTGTTGACAGAAGATGTCTAGTGGTCTGAAAGACAGTTGGAAATGAGAGATGTATATATGTACTTTGTTATTATTTATGCAAGAGATGGTAAACTTATAGATGATGAGGTCACTGAGAAAATGTAAAAAGAAAAAAATGTTTAAGATAGAGGTGTACTTTATTTTATGTAATGGATGTTAATAACCTCTGAATAGCCATGTTAGCCAAACTACATTGGAGATGGGAGGGACCAGAAGCAGAAAGATCAGTATTTTAATGTCATATAGGATGTCTACCAAAACTTGTCTTCTTCTAGCTTTGGTGAGAGAAGGTTGTGTAAGAGGAGTAGATGAATAAAGCTAAAATTAAAAGGGAAACAATAATTAAGAGAACAAAACCTTTACAGGAAGACTTCCTGTCTTCTCATAGGAAGAAATGATAAAGGTTTCATTTCTAAGATATGTGAAGAAGTGAGTGAAATTTATAAGAATAGAAGCCATTCTCCAAGTGATAAATTAAAGTTATGGACAGCTATTTCTCAAGGGAAGAAACCTAGGCTATCTATAGCCACATGGGGAAAAAAAATGCTCCAAATCAGTGTCAGTTAGAGAAATGCAAGTTAAAGCAATTCTGAAGTCCTACATCATATCCATCAGATTGGCAAAGATGTCAAAAAAGGACAATAAAAGATGTAGGAGGCATATTGATTGGTGGACCTATGAATGGGTACAACCATTCTGGAATGCAATTTGTAATTAAACACAAAAAATTACTGAAGAAAACATGGCTTTTGACTCAGCTATGCCACTGATAGGCCTATAAAAAGGTCCATTTGTACCAAAATATTCACAGCATCTCTTTATGGCGGCAACCAAAGGGATGCCCATCAGCTAAGGAAAGGCTGAAGAAGTATAGTATATGAATGTAATGGAATACTATTGTGCTATAAAACTAAAAGGAAATACATGATTCAAAAAGATAAAGAAAGATTTATATATGAATTGATGATGGGTTAAATGAACATTATACCATAACATCAATATTACAAAAACAAGTAATTTTGAAGGATTTTCATAAACTGATGTAGGATTAAACAAACAGAACCAGGATAATAACTTATAGAATAACAACAACACTGTAAAGACAAACAACTTTGAAATCTGTAAGAAGTATGATCAATAGAATGACTATCTATGTTCCAAAGGACCAATGATGAAACATATTGTCTACTTCCTGACTGAAAGGTGATAGCTTTAGAAGAGAGAGAGAGAGAGAGAGAGAGAGAGAGAGAGAGAGAGAGAGAGAGAGAGATTGTATATATCTATAGGTAGATAAAATGTAGATATGTACATATTTGTATATATTATACATATGATATGTGTGTATACAGCCAATGAGGAAATTTGTTTTGCTTGATTACTCATAGTTGTTACAAGAAACTTGTTTTTACTTATTTTTTTTTCTTTAATAGGATAGCAGCTGGAAGGGACAGAAAATAGCTTTCTGTTAATTTTTTATAATTATTATTATTATTTTTACATAGAGAGGCAGGAGGGGTGCTACAGATGTGGAATGCTGCATGCACTTTCAGATGAAGTCACAGTATTCTTGTCACTGTTATTGTTCAGTTGTTTCAGGCATGTCCAACTCTCTGTGACCCCATTTGGGGTTTTCTTGGCAAAGATGCTAGATTGGTGTGCCATTTCCTTCTTCAGTTCATTTTACAGATGAAAAAACTGAGATAAACAGGGTTAAATGACTTTCTCAGGGTCACACAGCTAGTAAATGTCTGAGGTCAGATTTGAACTCACAGAAATGAGTCTTTGTATTTTTAGTTTCACTTAATTGCTTTACTTTGTTACAAGATATCACTCACAGAATGGGATAATCAGTCAATTTTTGTAATGTAAAAGCAAAATACATTAAACAAACATTTTTAAAGAACTAGGGAAAAAGGGAATTGTAAAGAAGATTTAAAGAGTAGGAATTGTGAAAGAGATCAGAGATTGCTCTTGAGAAGGGAAAATGTTGGTGGGGGGGTGTTATGGAAAAGATAAAGGAGAAGAATGAAAAGGAAAACTACTTGAGCTAAAGGAGAAAGGTTGGAGTTGAAGAAGAAAGAGGCCTCAAGAAGGAAAATGTGAAGACCAGAAACGACAGGTAGGACTCAAGCTGAAGGAGCAGGAGGACATTTCTTTTTGTCTTTGTCATCACCTTCATGATAGCACTGGTCCTGTCAAGAGTAAAGGATGGAACACCAATCTCTATATTCAGCACCTAGTAAACACAGTGCCTGGCATATAGTAGGTGCTCAATAAATGTTTGTGGGATGGAATTGAGGAGGAGGTCTAGAGAAAAAGAAAGTAGAAAGATAAGTGAAATAATAGAAATTGGAATGATGGAGCAAAGATATAAAAAAGGAAAGGGAAGTTGGGCAGGTGACTGTAAAAGGCTAACCGAGAAAAGAGAGGTACCTATGCAGTTGAAGACCCTTACAAGCGATTTTCCATGGCAATTCTCCAGGGAAGCTACTAACAAGAATGGCAAAGGACTGACACCATATTTCACCACATAATCATTGCAGATTTTATGCCAATTTTTTTTTGCAAAAAAGGTAGGGTGAGACCATTATGTGAAGGGGGTTTTTTAAGTTTTGTGAGTATTACTTAAAAATCATTTATTACTAAACTGTCTTTGGTACAAGATTAGGATGCACAGAATACTCATGAATGTATGTTAAAATTGGGAAGAAAACACGTGACTTACTCATGGCAACTTTACCTGCCTGCCAGCTCCGCTTGGGCCTACAACTCTTCATTGGGTGAAGTGACAATACTATTAGTACTACAGTGCTCTAAATAAATCATGCAAATCAGCTTTCAGAAACATACTGACAATGTACATGTGCTGAGAATTCTAGGCTTGAGGCTTGCAATGCACAAGAGATAAATGTATCCATATGCCACTGGCAAATACATTGCTGCTCTGTTTACCTTTTAAGCTGCATGATGAACAGAATTACACCATATGACAATTATGCAATAAAAGGTTATAAACCAATTTTTGGACTAAAAACGAGGAAGTAACGATTATACAGTGAAATAGGGTACTCACTTTCCTTAAGCATGGTGAATAGGGAAAAATTTTCACAGTGACATGTAGAGTAGTCAGTGCTTGTATTTCTGCCATCACCAAATGACTTTTATCTATGTTCAAAGAGTATTCTGCTTACCTTCCTGGAAGAGAAAGTGAGAAGTTTTGAAAAATGCCCCTCTAATTTCCAAATAATCAGAGAGAACAAAGTTTCTTTAAAAAAAATTTTTTTTAAGGCTTTCCATATGAAAACTAAAAAGAGAAAACTCTGAAAAAGTAGAATGGACCTCTGATTTGTCTCAAAAGGTTGGAAGATGAAAAAAAAAAGTGACACAGAAAAGAAAGGAAAGAAGGAAAATGAAACAGCTGGAGCTAGGAATCCAATCTGAGGCACTTCCCAATTAGGAAAGAGCTATTCCCTCTGAGGAGGAAACAGCTACTTGTTCCAATGTATCCACAGGTACTATCAAGTAAGAAATCATCTGGTAAAGGTGAGAGGAAGAAGGGGGGCGGGAGTGACGGTTTGGCAAATCCCTGCTGAGGCACTTACATGTCAGTCTGATAGCAACAACAGAAGAGTTCTACTGTCTTCTTAGGGCATATATCCAGGATGTGGCATGGAATCTCTATGATTTGTCAAACCAGATTAATAACAACCATTTGTGTATGAGAGAGAGAGAGAGAGAGGAGAGAGAGAGAGAGAGAGAGAGAGAGAGAGAAGAGAGAGAGAGGTGTGTGTGTGTGATTTTCAGGTGTGCCAGAAGGAATTTAGAAATCTAGATCTAGAAAGTCTTAGGCAAGAACCTAAGACTTGGAGGATATAGATGGGTTTTCATTTCTGCTGCCAGGGCTTCAGATGAGAAAGAATGATTTGGGATGTATGTAACAGCTTGTTTTTTAAAAGAGTACTTGGGGAAAGGATTTATATTTCTGGACTAAAGCTTAAAATGTAGGAATGCCAGGCTTCTTGCCAGAGACAGCATACACCTAACAAAGTTGGTAAGAATGCATTTTCCTGTGATATTACAAATCTAATGAAAAGGGATTTAAATAGAAAAAGAAGGGAAATGGGCTAAGCTAACTACATATATCTAGCAAAATAAGATATCATGGAGAGTAGCCACAGTGTGAGAAGATGAATAGCAGTAGACATGACTAAAATTCATAGGTAACAAAGTCCAAAGAAGAATCTAACAATGAAACCTTTAACCTCAGACATCAATTTATGAATGCATCAGTAAGTGCTAACAAGCAAGAAAAACTAGAAATCCTAACACAAGAAGGGAAATATAATGAATGTAATAATATTAAGACATGGATATTGCATTTTAAATTAGATAAATATTTTGCATATATTTTTGCATTGGATAATGATCCCATAGGAATCATTGAGACTTGCTTGGATAAGAGCAATGATTGGAATATAATCAGTCAATAAACATTGATTAAGCACCTACTACATGCCAGGCACTCTGCTAAGTGCTAGACATACAAATTGGGGGCAGGGGCGGAGTGGAGAGAGACAGTTTCTGCTCTTAAGGAGTTTACAATCTAATCAGGGAAAACAACACGCAAAAGAAATTTAAAAGAAGAGGGAGCCTTTTTAAGTTCTTAGGGGAGTCCAAAGGACTGCAGCCAGAGATGACTGGCCCAAGAGCCAGTGACAGTTTCAGGAGGCTCCCTCCACTCTGCCATCCAATCCAAGGTGTCCCAATGACAGGGTGATGGAACCTGGACCCCTAAAAGGAAGAGACCACATCTTTGAAAGCTATGACCCTTGCCAGCAGGAAGCAGTTTCCCTGAATTTTGCCACACATTCCAAGCCCTGGCATTCACCTGGAACATCTGGCCCATCCCAGTCCACCTACATATTCACTAATCCTTTTAACTGCCCTTTCACTGTGGCTCCCCCCTCCTTGTCTGTACCTAACTCACCCCAGGATACTCATCACTCCTTAATTTCATCCAGATCTTCTCATTACCTTTTCTTGTAAATGCCAATCTTACCCTCATTAAATTGTGCAGATTCTTAAAATCTTGCCTGCTCCTATTGGCATTACAATAAACTTCACTCCCTGACTGAAAGAAGGCTTGAGTGGTTGAATTCTTTCTAGGCAGCCTTGCCCTATGCCCTTACATTTTGGGGTTCCCAGCACCCCAAACCTCAACAAAAGGGCAGAAAGTACTGATGAGGTCTGAGTTTCAAGACTGATTGTGATCTTGTGGGATGAAGTTCCTAAAACACGACTGGGAAGTCCAGAGAAGTACAGCAGGGTGATAAATGAAGAGATGGCTGGCCTGGGCTCCTTAAATGGAAGTTCTGGGAGAAGCTCTTCATCTCTGCCTTCTCCGATCACATGTGAGACTTAGCCCCAGGGTAGGAAATTTAGAGGCAGTGACAGAACTTGTACTTTTCTAAGAAGAAGGCAGGAAAGAGCCTAGGGGGGAGAAGAGGGAACCCAATGACCATATAGTAGAGGCTGTGGATGAGGACAGGGCTCCTGGGAATCAGTTTGGTTCCCAGTACCAATGGCTAAAGAGAGACACAGCCCCATTAAGGTAGTCCCATCAGTCCTAATATCAGCTGCTAGTGAACTGGGTTACCAAGTGAGAGAAGGAGAACAAGTGGAGATTGTGGGTGTGTTGACTTTCTGTCCTGCACAAACCTCTCACCAGACCCAGGCTCATATTTTCCTAAGGAGACTACTAAACTTCATTCCCTGGGGTGGGTGAGCTTGAGGTCAAAATATGCCTGGGAAAGACTGAAAGACTCCCTTCCCACTTGTGTCTCTGTTAGGCATTTACCCCATTGAGATCAATGACAAAAAGAAAGAACCCATAAGAGACCAAAAATTATCTCAATCTCTTCCCATGGAAAAATTTTCTTATATTCCATCATTCTTCACCTCCATGCCAGAATGTTCCAGAACTTTCTAGAACGTTCCACTCATGATTTATTAGCTAGACTAACAATGTGACATAGCATAACAATACAACATCAGATTTCCCCAGAGGCATATATTCTACCTTTCTAAGTCCTTCCCTTCCTTCATGCCCAGCTCAAGTCTCAGATCCTTGCAAGAGTCTTCTCCAATAATACCAGTATACTTCTATCACTCCTATCTCCATTTTTTAATGTGAATATCCTTTCTCTTCAACAAAATGGCAAAAAAAAAACCCACCAGGGCAGGGAATCAGCTCATAACATATTTCACATGTCCAACACCTAGCTTACAGTAGCTATGACTATGTCATATGACTATGACATCAGGAATGTGATGAAGTGACTTACAAGTAAATTGGAATTAAGTGAGGGAGGGCTGTGCAAAGTCACCAGCCTCACTTTCTTCTCCAGAGCCATCTGGGACCAGTGGCCAGATATAGGTCAGGACAACTACAGATGGCCTAGAATACAATAGGAGACCTTGGCCTTTTTAAGCTAAGGTCTTTACCAGGTCTCAGTTTGAGGCAACACCGATTCAGTGATTAAGGCTAGGTAAGAACTGAGGCAAAGAATGGCCTCTTTGACCTAGCCCAAAAACAATCAGTCCCAAAGCGGAAGCCCCTCAGGGTTTCTGGCCAAAACAGAAACAGTTGCTATTTACATTCACTCTGAGCCATCAGGGCCCAAACAATGACCAGGGCTTGGGCTGGGACCTATTGTTAGCCACAGTGATTTGGGTTTAAGGCATGGTCCTTAAGAAAGAAATCTATCTGGTAAACCCCAACAAATCCTGTGAGGTTTCAGGGATCAAAATTTATATTCTTTTGGGGAAAGCACCCACAGGTTAGGGTATTATACCTTATGTGGACAGAGGGAGAGGAAGAAGAAAAGGAAAGGGAAGGGGAGGGTGAAGGAGCTGCACTGCCAACTGAAAGTGGCCAGTTGGGTCCCCAGTGGCAACATATAGGTCAGGACTACTGTAGATGGCCCCGGATGCAGTAAGAGACCTTGGCCTGGTTAAGCTAAGGTCTTTCCTGGATCTCTGTTTGACTGAGGCAACCATTTACCGGCTGGATTTCTTTGTGAAGCTTCAGCCAAGGCTTTCAAGAGTTTGATGATATTTCCCATAACCCCTTCTAAACCCAAAGCCAACTCCCAGGCACATAGCTCATCAGAAAGACCACTTACTATGTGAATGCTTGTCTAGGGGGAAAAAAATCCGTTATAGAAAATATTGCCAAATGTCTATTGAAAATATGTGGTTAGTACTCAATGCTTCTGTATTAAGGAAACTATACCATTGAATGAATACACATTATCTCCAATAGTATAGTGTAAAACAATAATTTATAAACATGTATAAACAAATAACAATTTACAGTCTTGTTATTTTTGATAGCACTTTATCTGCAAGAAGGAAAATTTAAAAAAAAAGTAGAGTACAGAAGTTGCATGGTTTCAGTGACAGCTGTGAATTTTCTTATCTGAACAGCCCATTAAGTTTTGGAAGGGCTGCACTATAGTCAACAAATAGATATGGCTCTTTGCCTATTCAGACCCTTAATTAATGTCCCCCATCTAGGATTACTCTATTTTCCAGGAGAAAATCCAGTTCAGGAACATTAGGCCTCAGATGTCTTGACCTTAAGAAGAAGAATGCAAGACAAGCAAAAGTACATGCCTGCAACAGGCTGTGGAGACTGAGATTGACTATTTTCAAATTGAGCAGGTTGGGAAGGACATCAACAGACTAAATATCAAGAATGGTGAAGGGACTGGGAGCCATGCCATATGATGTTGGTTTGAAGGAAATAAGGATTTTTTTTAAAGAAGGAAAGAAAGAAAAGAGGGTCACTGAGATATTTTTTCTTTTAAATGCAGAGAAGAAGACCAAAGGAAGGCCAGAAATAAGCACAAACAGGGAGGACAGCTTTGAAAGCTACAGTTTTAATTTATTATGTACTTATAAAGAAAAAAGCAAATTGTGTCTTACAGAGGTCTGGAGTTGTGTGCACAACCCATCCACTTTGTCAGTTCTATTATGAATATGGAAATGCTTGTTTTACTTGGGGTTTGTTAAATTTAGAATGATAAAATGAATGAAGAAGAAGAAGAAGAAGAAGAAGAAGAAGAAGAAGAAGAAGAAGAAGAAGAAGAAGAAAAAGAAGAAGAAGAAGAAGAAGAAAAAAAGAAGAAGAAGAGAAGAAGAAGAAGAAGAAGAAAAGAAGAAGAAGAGAAAAAGAAGAAGAAAAAGAGAGAAGAAAAAGAAGAAGAAGAAGAGAAGAAGAAGAAAAGAAGAAGAAGAAGAAGAGAAGAGAAGAAAAAGAAGAAGAAGAAGAAGAAGAAGAAGAAGAAGAAAAAGAAGAAGGAAATAGGGATGTTTAGCCTAAAAAAAATAGGTGGCAACACGATCTTAAAGTATTTGGAAAACAGATTAGCCTTGTTCTGCACAGTTCCAGGGGCAGAATGAAGATAAATGGGTGGAAGTTGAAGCAGAGCAAATTTTGGCTCAACTTAAGGACAAAATTCCTAACAATTGCAGCTGTGCAAAAATGAAATGGGATGCTTCGGGTGATAATGAGTTCCATATTTATGTAGCTTTTCAAGCAGAGAACATAACTCGTACTGGAATTGTCATACTAGAGTTGTACTAGAATTAAGGTTTCTTAACTTGGGGTCTGTGAACATTTTTAAAAATATTTTGGGGGCAGCTAGGAGGCACAGTGGATTCAGGAGGACCTGAGTTCAAATCCAGCCTCAGACACATAACACTCATGAGCTGTGTGACCCTGGGCAAGTCACTTAACCCCATTGCCTAGCCAAAAAAGAAAAGAAGAAGAAGAGAGTTCCACTCCCCATGCCCTCAAGTCATGTATGAAATTGCTTTAAAGTCATTTAACCCTATTGCCTAGCCAAAAAAAAAATTTATACATATATATATATATACACGCACATATATATATGTATAGTATTTCAATATAATTGGTTTCCTCTGTAATCCTTTGTATTTTATCTTATGCCTTTAGTAACACTATTCTTGAGAAGGGGTCCACAGGCTTTACCAGATTGCCAAAGGAGTTCACAACACACACAAAAAAGTTAAGAACCGCTGGATTAGATTATTTCCGGGGTCCCTTTCTCTGTGGTCCCCACTTGGATGTCCTACCAATATCTCAAACTGAATATGTCCAGAAATGAACTAGTTATTCCACTACGCTTCAATCCTGTCTTCCCCATTGTCTTTGATGGCATGACCATTCCTCTAGTTACTTATACCCCTAGCACAGAGAAATCTTGGATTTTTCTCTCTTCTTTATCCTGCTCATCCACTCATTTGTCAAATTCATGCCATTGCATACACCTGGAATGGATGTCCTACCTCCACATTATTTCCTTCTTTTGAAATCCTTCATGTACCATCTTCTCCATGCAGCCTTCCCAGGCAAATCTCCTCCCAAATCCCCCACTAACTAACCTGGTGAAAGAGATCTACTATTCCTAGAATTTCCCGCAACACTTTGCACTTATCAGTCTCCCTTGTATTACAGTTATTTGTGTAAAATCTTTCCTCACATTGGATTGCAAGGATGCTTCAAATTTCTCTCTTTATTTTTGAACATCCATCTTTTTTTCAGTAATGATTAGATATGAGTTTACAGGGTATGTCATTTGGGGATTCATCTTGGGCATACATTCAGGATATATTATTCCATTCCCTTCTGCGGTTTCTGGTGAGTGCAGAACAGTCCTGCATTATTCAAATGTGTTTTTCTTTATACTTGAAGTTCTCCTGAACCCTTGAAGAATTTGTTAAGTCATTGGAATTGTAAAACTTAACCACTATGTGTCTTGGAGTTTTCAGCATAGGAGATTTTTTTGTTGTTTGTTTTTTCCTGGAAGCAATCTATGGATTCTTTTGATTAGAACTTTGTTTTCTATATTCAGAATTTCTGGACAGTTGCTATTTTTTTTCTTTTGCATTATTTCTTGCGTTGTGATGTTCATGTTTTTTGACTTGTCATATTCTTCTGGGAAACTTTTAGACCTTAGGCTGTCTCTATGCATCTTGTCTTCAAGATCACTAAATTTTGGTTGTACAGATATCATATATGTTCTTTTAACCTCATGGTATTGTATTGTAGTCCTTCACTATGGTATATTTGCATCTACAATCAGCTGCTCTCTCTTTTACTTCTTTGGAAAGACTCACTACTGTGGATTCAAGTTTTTCTATTCTGCTAATTATTTTTGCTGTGCAGACACAGGTGTGCTGGTAAAAATGTTTAACAACTGGTTCTCCCAAAAAATGTGCATATCACACTTTTAGGGTTAAACTGAATTATTGACATTTTATCTATCACTTTCTTAAGTCTAAACAATCAGAAAACAATAAATCAGTCCCTGAGATGTAGCATTTACTAATTTCCAAGGTGTAAATGCTCATACTAAAAATTGAACAATGATTTCTTACAAACTGGTTTAAGTTGGCTTTAGCATGTCCCTGGGTGCAGGCCATAAATTTTGCCATTTGGTTTTTTTTAACTTCTACTTTCAGCACCCTTATTTCTCTCTTGACCCATTCAGGACCATCCTGTGTGATTTCATGGTCTCTTGGGAATCCACATGGGTCTTATGCCTTGTCAGCTGTTGATTCAGTTTCATATTTTTTAATATTTATTTAAAGATAATTGGATTTGTTTTGATGTCATCTTCCCGTCTGTTTTAATATCTCCCTTCTTGATTTATCTCTTCTGTGTTAATTTTAACTGATTTTTTTCTTCCTTTTTTATTTGTATTTACATATCACTCACTTTCTGACTCCCCTTTGATGGCAAATCCCCTGATGTCTGAGATAGCTTTGAAGATCAGCCTTCCTCTCATTTGGGGGAATTAACTTTTCACTGGCCTCATTCCCTGCCCCATAGTGACTTCTGGGGGACAGAATTGGCCCCAGCTGAATACTAGTCACCTTTACTTCAGGCCTGGTATGGCCTCATACATACCCTGACCCAGTGCCCTCTGCTCTTAAGTTCTCAATCTAAGTACTGTAGCCCCTGGAAGAGCATGATTCTGTTTTCCTATACCTCCTCTTTCTCCATAAAGAAGGTGCAGAGTTAATATTGGCTGTTTGGTGCTACAGTAGGGTGGGATGAAGACAGGCACAAGTTATGTTGGCAGAACATTACAGCAGCAGCAACAAAGAAATGGTTGAATGATTAGAACTCAAGATGGTGGATGGGTTGTGCAGCTCTGCCAAAGTGTGGAGGATATTGAGGGAGGAGTGGAGCACCAAGTGACAGGGCTAGGGATTATGGATTAGACAACACTGCTACTAATTCATCATATTGTTTCCTCCTTGGGCTTCTTGGTATCTTGCCTGAGGAGCCAGTTTCAACTGCTTTATTTTTTGTACACAAATACTATATGAGGAAATTTTGAGAGTTAATGAGGACTGGGGAAAAAAATGTCTGGTCTTCCATCATCTATTTGAGTGTAGAAGATCTAATATAATCAAGCTGATATTTTTTAAAACGATAAAAAAAAAACCCCTGTAATTCCCAAATGCTAAGGACAAAAGAAAATATCAAATGATCATAAAAATGTCACCCTTGTCTCAGATGGACCACAGCTACCCCATCCAAATGGATTGAAATCTTTCCTATATTTAAAGTACCTTTACTTCTCTGTATCCCAGTTTCCTCAAACAGAGTAACATTTGATGGCCAAAAAGGTTATCATTCACATGTACACAGCCGTCCTTTCTGAGCCACCTTCTAGTTCCAAACCTTTCCCTTCTATCTTGCTACCCTCCCTAGGGTTACTATGACTAATATTACTGCAGTGTTGCCTGTGGGTTAATTTGTACATAATAAAATAAAAAGGCTCATGCCAGGGCAAGAGTACCTAAGGAGAGAAGATGTTTTCTTTGGTACTTTAAAGTTCCAACTGTGAAAATTCTGGTGATGCAGTCATTTCAACACATGTACTTCCTGCAAGCACAGACATAAAGCATTTACAGAGGATGGAAACATAGGAAAGAACACTGAAGATATATGCAATTAGTAAGCCAATTAGAAGACTGAGTGAGACTGAGTTTGACTCATCTCTGCACTTACCTCACAGAATTTCTTGTTCAGAGTATCTATTTAATTTCCTTTATAAATAGCAGTCATTTCCGTACTTTTCTTTGCAGTTATTCTTTCACTGGAATTAGATTTTTTTTCCCAAATAAGCACAGGAAGTGATTTTTTTAAATTATTTTCTTTTAAAATTCAAGAGCAGTAACACATCAATTTGAAATACATATCATGTTTTCTTGACTTTGGGAGAGCTCAGTTGGTTTTAGAGCTGATGTTATTCTGCAGAATTGCCAACCAAAATTCACATTAAGGAACTTTTTGTCCTTTACTAAAAAAGAAAAAAAAATAATAGGGCTTGGGGAAATTTTTAAAAGTTGAAGTTCACATAATTGCTGACAGAGCTGGAAATTCTTCTACTAAAGAAATCCGAATTTCAAAATCCAAGAAAGGAAGGAATTTGGAAAAGATGAAGCTGACTTTGGGCTAATCCAGGACTTCAGGCTAGGCTCAGAGTGAATGTCTTCTGAAGGTTAACCAGAGTGACCCGATGCTTTACACTTTCTAGTGCCTCACCACCCCCTCCCCTCCAAACCCACAGACTGTCTGAAGTACTGACCTGAGTCATCCATACCCTGAAACCAACTTGAACTCTGGGGATTCTCCAAAGCTGAGCCTCAAACGTCTCAAGTCAGAAGACCCTATTGGAGGAGGGAAACTAGAAACACATGCTGGGGTCTGCTCTGATACCAAGGAGACCTGCTTTAGCAAGGCCAAGCCTTGATACATATACTAGTGCCTAGACAAAGAAACAAGCAATGAACTGTAGCTGTGGCAATGAGGGGTAACAGCAACAGTGAGGTGAGTTTGATTCATAGCAGGGCCTCATGACTGGAACAGGGTTGCTATAGGCACTTGTCCTACTTCAGGGACCACCTGGGGCTGGTGTGAAATAATTCTGGGATTTTACTACAGCAGAGTTTATTTATTCAGAGGGAAAATGCAAAGAATCATTGTTATGCCAAGCTCAGGGCACACAGCTGCTTGCTGGACTTTAGCTCTGGAAAATAGGGTGTCTCTTAATAGTAAAAAGAGAAGACTGAAAAGTGAGGGGTGGTTTTGGCATAGGGATCCTGACAAGTATAAGTAAAGCAGTTAATAAATACAAATATACAAAGCAGTGAAGTCAAGGTAGTTTAGGAGGGAGGGTACTAGCAATTTTGGACGTCAGAAAGGAAAGGCCTCATGTAGAAGGCAGTGTAATAGATAGAGCTCTAGAGTCAGGAAAAACTGAGTTCAGATTCAGCCTCAGATACTTACTAGCTGTGTGACCGTGAGCATGTCACTTAACTCTGTTTGCCTCAGTTTCCTGATCTGTAAAATGAACTGGAGAAGGAAATGGGAAACCACTCCAATATCTCTGCCAAGTAAACCCCAAATGGCATCACGAAGAATCAAACATGACTGAAACAACAGAACAATAACATGCAGAAGATTGCGTATAAGCTGCATCTTAAAAGAAGAGAGAAACTCTCCAAGCCTGAGATAAAGGAATACCTTCCAGGCATGAGGAACAGCAAATGTGAAAGTACAGAGATGCAGTCCTGAGTATAAGAACAAAAAGGTCAGTTTGGCTGCATTGCCAAGTTCAGGAGGGGGAGTAATGTCCAATGAGGCCAGAAAGATAGATTGGGCCCAGGTTGTATAAGTCTTTAAAAAAATAAATGGAGGAGTTTATATTTAATTCTCAAGGCTATAGGAACCCACTGGGTTTGGTCAAGTAGAGGAGCCACATGATTAAATATGCACTCAGGGAAAATCACTTTGGCAGCAGTGCGTAGGTTGGACTGCAATGGGGAGAGACTTGAAGCTAGGAGACCCATCAGGAGGCTGCTGCAATAATCTAGGCACTAAATGGTAGGGATTGAACTAGGGTTGTGAGGGAAAGGAAGAGTCAGATGCAAGAGATGTAAAAGAAGAAATAGAGAGACATGGCAACCGAAGGGCTATGGGATGAGGAAGAGGGAGGAGTCTAGAATATTGCAGAGATGGTGAATCTGAGATGCCAGAAGGATGAGCTCAACAGAAATTAGGAAGCTTAGAAATGGGAAGAATTTGGGAGGACAGAGAATGAGCTCAGTTTTAGACATGTTGAATTTAAAAGGTCTCCAGAACATTGAGTATAAAATGTCCAGCAGGCAAGTATTGTCGTTGTGAAACCAAAACTCAAGGAAGAGAATCGGGGTGGATATATAGGTCTAGGAGTCATTTGTGTAGAGATGATATTACCAAGAGAGAATTTAGAAGGAGAAGAAGCCCAGGAGTATGAAAGGCCTGGTTCAGAACCTAGAATTCTCCAATTAGTCTCCGTTTGGAAAACTGCTCTAAGAGAGGAGTAATGAAGTAATTATATCTTCCTGTACAAAGATGTAAATAACTGATAGCTCTAGATTTGCGTTTTAATAGGAGACAAAGTCTTAAACTAAAGGAATGAAGTTATAATGGTAGAATTTCAAATATTTGGGAAGAAGTAAGTGGCATATCATACCATGAGAAGGTGGTAGGACCTTTTTTGAGCCCCTGAAATCGTAGTGCATAGGTCACTGCCTACCTTATATAGGTATAAGAACAGCCCAGAACATCATTTAAAGCCAAAGTTCTTAATCTGAATTGTGGTTGTTGTTGTTTTTTAATATTTTGTAACTACTTCAGTGTAACTGGTTTCTGTTGCAATCCTATTTTATTTTATGCATTTAAAGACATCATATGCTAAGAGGTTCATAGACTTTACCTGATAGCCAGTGGTATCCATGACACAAAAAAAAGGTTAAGAATCTCTGATTTAAAGCAATAATTAAAGGTTCCCTTAGAGGACCCGACCTATATGGAACTCTGACACATAAATTCGATCCACAAAGTAAATTTTTGTGATGAGAACAGAGGACCTCAGAGTCACTCAAATATACTCAGTTACATCACCTCCTAATGTCTGTAGCATGAAGTAGCACAGTAGAGTAAGGAAGACGAGTGAAATCCAATCTCAGACACTAAGTATATGACTCTGGACAAGTTACTGAACTGCTATGTGCCTCAGTTTCCTCAACTGTAAAATGGGAATAAAAATAACATTTACCTCCTAATAAAATTAACACTTAACTCTCAACCTTGTTGTGAGGATCAAATGAGGTAATATTTATGAAGTACTCAGCAAACAGTAGGTACTTTATAAATGTTTACTTCCTTCCTTCCTTTCTCATAACCATTGCCCAGCTATTCTCAGAGAGTTTCAGAATGGCCCAACAGAACATTGGGATGGGGAGAGGTGTCCAGGAGCGGGGCAGGGAAGTTTGCTAGAGATGATCAAGCCTCCTTTAACTCATGCTTAGGATTCACAACAAAAAAAAAATTTAGAAAGTGATAAAAATTAATCCAACAGACAAAAAATTGATGGGACTGATTTTTTTTCTCCACAACAAATTTACTAAACTGATTATGGTTTTTGGTTTGCTTTTATTTTAAATTTCCTGTAGGTCCAGCCTCAATCTCTATTGCCCCTTTCAGATTTTGCCTATCAGAAGAATAAATATAGAGAAATAAACCAGGTAGGGGGTGTTGCAGATGCCATAACAGCTCAATAGAGCTACAGATGAGACAAGCACTAAGTCATATTAATAAAAGTGTGCTCCATAAATGCCACTGTAAATGACAAATTATCTAATTAAGAATAAAATGTGTTCATCAAACAATTTTATCATTATCAGTCTTCATGTACAGCCATTTTCCATGGGCACCAAGACCCTAGAGACATTTTTCCAAAGATGAATGTCTTCCCATAAATTTAAACTTACTTTTCATAACTATCTTCAGAACAAAGTGCAACATGAATTTGTCAGTGATTCATTCTGTTTCTGTGCTTCTATTTCATGGCCTCCTTTGCTTCTACTCAGCCCTCCCTTTCTACTATCTCCCATCTGCTATATTTTGTTTCAGCTCCATTATATTCTAATCACATCCTGTTGTTATATTCCTCACCAACCGAAGATTAACATGAAGATCTTTATTTTCACATTTTATCTAAGAGTAAAGTAAGTACGTGGGTTTGTGTCCCAAGTTTCCTGGTCCTTGGGACACTGTATATTTCAAGATAAGATATTAGAAATAAAATTTTGCAGATACAACAGAAAATTTGGATGAGAAAAGAAGACCAATGTGGCAGGGAACTCTTGGACCAAATTAGATTATAGAATAGATGAATAAATGAAGAAGCATTGATTAGGGGCTTACTTTGTGATAAGTACTATGCTAAATCCTGGGCATTTACAAATACAAAAGTGAGACATTTCCTGCTTTCAAGGAGTTTATGTTCTAATAAGAGGAAACAACACATTTAAGAGAGTGGCATCTACAGAAGGGAATTTTGATCTGGGAAGTTACAGGAATGGTGAACTGATCCTCTATTGATTGAAGATGGCAGGAGGGTATACCTATGATGACAAGGCAGGTAGCAAGATGGCCTCAGTGAATGGGTGGAGAGCCTCCAGGATGTGAGGTATGGTCTGGTTTTGGTCCAGCTAAACATAGTCGTCTATGTGAATTTGCATACACTCACAACAACCACAACAGCCCTGAGGGCAGGAATTCCTAAAGTGAGTGGATTAATTACCCTGAGGACTGGGCTAAGCTTTCTGACAGATGTTTTTCTGGGTTAGGAGAAGCTGGGAAGTGGCAGGGACGCTAGTCTAAGGCCTAGAATCTATGGAAATAGCACACAAGGAAGTTTTCTTCTTCTTCTTCTTCTTCTTTTTTTTTTTTGGTGAGGCAATCAGGGTTAAGTTACTTGCCCAGGGTCACACAGCTAGTAAGTGTCAAGTGGCTGAGGCTGGATTTGAACTCAGGTCCTCCTGACTCCAGGGCTGGTGCTCTATCTACTGCACCACCTAGCTGCCCCAAACAAGGTAGGTTTGAAAGGTCAGTCAAATGAGCCTGTGGTAATCCTTATAGTCCAAGTCCACACTGGATTTTTGCAGCCAATCTAGCACCACAGTCCAGGGTAAGACATCCATGAAAGATATAAGTAGGCAAATAATGGAAAAGGAATAAAAAAGTATTGCCCAGTCTTGAAAGAAAAGTATTAAGAACACAAAAGCTCATGTCGAGCTGAGGCTATCAAGAAAAGACAAGGACAACAAAAACAATTTAATCAGATTTGAGAAATGAGAA